GTAGACATATTCACATTTGGTGTGGGATGTTTTAATCAACACAATGCCCTTTAGAATCTGAATTTATATTTATTGTGCCATTGTGTCAGACTCTGACCTGAGGAATATAAATAGCAAAGTGCATTACTGAAATGCTTTGTCTAATTATGGCATACATCTATCATTTGAAAACATGTCAGTGCAGATATTGCACAAAGGCTTGTGCAATATCTTATCAGACACAAAGGCATGATATAAGTGGCCAAAACAATTTGATCTGGGAAACGAGCATCAAGTATTTCAAAGGTGTGAGCTCAGACAAGTGTTCTCCCAAATTCTGCAACTGTGAGCAGAATAATGAAATGTATTTTAATACAAGCTGCTGAAGTGCCATTCTATTGTGAATCAAACCCCTGTCTTTCAGTGGGTAGTGGACATTTGAGTGACTGAAAAGCAAAGCTGAAGCTGGATTAAAAATCAATTTCCCACAAAAGCATATCGGTTGTGTGACGATTCTTAGTTCAGTTAATTAAATGCTACCTGCAGTTTTTGGTGATTTCCCTTCCCCTCACTACTATGTCATTTACCTTTTTCAATCCAACTATAATACAGAGTTTATATGAGAGACCACAGAAACTGCAATACAGAGTTCATATGAGACATCACAGAAACTGCCAGTGGAGGGATTTACGTTTGACCACGTCCGTGTGTGTGCAGAATGTCAGTGTCTCTGAGCTGGGAATGGTTTACCCCAGCAAAGGCTAACTCATACTGCGTTACAAAGTGAGCTTTCCTTGGAATTTACTGTGGATCGCCGCTCTCTCCTTGTCCTGCAGCTCTACACTAGAGACTGGAGAAGTTCCTGGGGCAAGCGCTGATGCTGTAGAAACACAATTCAGGACAATTGATTCTATTGTATCACGATTTATCCTTGTAATGGCCCAACTGACATATCTCAGTTCTCCCTGCCGGCAGCTGTTAACAGCAGCATGCCAGGCAGGTTAATTTAATAATTTGCCCAAAATACATTATGAGGTCTAAAAAAATGACTCGGGCTGCTCAAGAACCGTTTTGAAGGGAGGGAGGAAAGATTACTAATCCCTTCCCTCTGAGCTATCGCCCTTAGGCCTAGTTTAGGATCCAATCACACTGAATACACGGAGTGGGGAGCTGGGGAATTCGCTACCTCAGACCCCGCGTTCCCACAGCGAGAGCGCACCGGCGGTGTCCGGGCATTTCATCCCGTTTGCCCGCACACTGGCGGTGTCCCAGCCCATTTTATCCCGCTAATCCTTATACCCCGCGGTGTCCCGGCCGATTTTATCCCTTTACCCGCACCCTGGCGGTGTCCCGGCCGGTTTTATCCCTTCACCCTGACACTCCCTCCTGGACCCGCCTCCCCTCACGGCTCGGGGCGCGCACGGACACAGCGCGGCGGGCGGTGCTGCGGCCCCTCTCCCGATAGGCTCCGAGGGCGCAGCCGTGATTTGCATAGCGGGTTCCGATTGGCTGGAGCTGCGCGGCGGAGGGCTCTGTTCGGAGGGCGGTGCCGCTGCGGCCGGGCACCGCCAGGCGGCGCCGGCGGCGCGGCCGGCTGTGATTGACAGGGCGGGGGCGGGCACACGCGGGCTCCGCGGAGCGCCATTGGCGGGCCGCGCCGAGGGGGCGGGGCGGCGCGCGGCGATTGGCGGAGCGGGCGCGCTCCCCCGCGGGGCGGGCGCTCCCCCCGCGCTCGGCAGTGCGGGAGCGGCGCTGGGCGAGCGCGGCGCCCGTTCCTCCCGGCGCGGCCTCGCTCTCCTCCTCCCCTTCCCGCTCCGTTCCCGGCCGCGGGGGGGTCTCCAGGCCTCGGTGGAGGCGGCGATGGGGATGGCCGGGTTTTTGTCGCTGCGCTGCCCCGCCGGCTGCTGACGCCGCACCGCCCGCGCCAGGTGAGGGGCTGCGCTGAGGGGCCTCTGCGCTGGCGGGGCCGGAGCGGGGCTGGTGCCGTAATGCGGAGGGGGAGGCGGCGATGCCGCCGTGCGCATCTGTGGGGCCCCGCGGAGGGCTGAGGCCGGGAGCGGGGGGGATGGACGGACGGATGGATGGGTAGACAGACGGAGGGATGGATGGATGCTTAGCGCTGGGTGCCCTGGAGCTGTCAGGGCAGCGGCGCAAGGGCGTGGGGCCCCGCTCGGCCTTGCCATCTGCCCGGTGCCATCTCCTCGTCCCCCGGGACGCTTCCCTCCCTTCCCTTCCCTTTCTTCCTTCCCTTCGTCTCCCTCCTTCCTTTTTCCCCGGGCGGCTCTTCGTGGGCTGGCTGCCGCCCGCCGCGCTCCCTTGGCTCGGATGGGCGGAGGCGGCGGCGCCGCTCCGGGAGGGGCGCGCCCCGCGGGGCGGTGCGGGAGCGGCGCTCGGGGGCCCGGCCCGGCCCGGCACGGCCCGGCACGGCACGGCACGGCACGGCACGGCACGGCACGGCACGGCACGGCACGGCACGGCACGGGCAGCCATGTTGGCACGATGAGCCGGCAATCCCCGTGCCCGGGCCGGGCCCGGCGCTCGGGGCCGCCGCCGCAGCGGGGCCATCGCCTGCGCTGGAGGATTCGCCAGAAGCAGATGGTGAACTTATGTCTGCTTTCTGGAATGTAAATGCGTTCATACCAAATTCTAAATTCTAGACGGGATTTCTCTTCGCTTCCAGCTCCTTCGGAGCTCAGTTCTTTTTGCTGTTGCACAATCCGCTGTTGGTAAATAGCCATGTGTGCATGTGATCAGGTTTCAGTGCCTCGCCAAGGTCTGCAGCGCTGTTCGATCTGGCATCTCCACCTGGTCCCGATATAGCAGAGCGTGTGTGTGAGTTCAGCTGGGGGATCATCATCACACTGTCAGCACTGCCCGAGCTTCATGCGGCACCTAAAATTGGCTCTGCTGGGGCCCCTTGGTCAGATACGCCTGCTGCCCCAAACAGCTGTTTTGCCAACTTTCCGTGTGCTAATCTCTGTCCTTGTTTTATTTCTTTAGAGCTCTTGCACTGATTAAGTTACAAGCCATTTTTTTGTTTCAAAGTTAGCACATTTTGTGATTGCAGATATGACACAGTTATCTGGTATATGATTAGTTCTCTTAAATAAAAGTGATTCTTTATTTATGATACCTGGTGGGTTTGGGTGGTTTTTTTTTTTTTGTTGAATGCAGTAATACAGATTTTGAATGTTGTTTTGTAACCACTTTGAGCTTGTTGCAGACTTCTCTGCATGTATAAATAATAATTTGAATCTAAATCCCTGCTCTGCTTGGAACTTTACTTAAATAAATAGCAATGTGTTCGTATTTTGACATTGCATAAAAACTGGTTTGCCAAAACTTTAAGATACATCCAAGTATTTCAAGTCTTAATGTTTATTCAGATATTTTTGTGAAAGCCCAGATCTAGTTGAGCCTGTGAAGGATGATTCATCAACACAATTGGGTTTGTCAGCTTGAATACCAATAAACACAAGATATTTAGATTATTTCTCTTAATGACACCTTTTAATATTAAAACCTCACCGTATGACTTACAGGATGGGTGTCTTTAGTTTCAAATAGTTGAAAAACTAGGATGTAGGATTTACTATTTGCTGATGAAGCTCACTAAACAACTCAAATGTCATCTACCAACTGTTTTGGAGCCATTGGTAGATCACCTCAAAGGCACACACGCAGTTCCCTTCTTGGTTCATGGCTGGATTCATGCAGACTGAACATTAAAAGAGACACAGCTAGTAGATTCCTTCCAAGACATTAGGGAGATGATTCATTCTAGCATGGATGGCAGCCTTCTAAGCCTCTAATGAACATTTTAAAAAATTGTCTTTTAAGAATATTGTTCTTCTAAATCTGTACCACAAACTGTATTGCACATTTTGCTTTTCTCTTTTCAAGTTACGTTTCCACTCTGTAGTCAGCGTTTTGTAGTAGGAAGTGGTACTACTGGTAAATGTGATCCCTGAAAAACCAGTTGCAGTTTATTATCTGTAATGCTGTGTAACTTGGGGCTCATTTTGCTTTATTTTACCATTCTGTGTGATGAGGGCAGTGCTACCTTTATAAATTGCTATGACCAGTTAAGATAACTGGTAAGTGAAAAAAACCTTCAAAACCCCAACAGCTTAAATGTATGGAAAGCTTGGCAAATTATGTTTGTTTTGGTCAATTTTCTTAATAAATTGCACAGTGAATTGATATTCAAAACATCTGAAATCCATGTGCAAATACGAGTAGGTGTTTTGCTTACTTCAGCTATGAAAAATAGCAGAGTTGAGAACAAAAGAGATTTTAAATGATACCACATTTGATTTTCCGTCAGCACAAAAGTTAGGGTTGGGAAAAATTGGTAACTGCAGAAGTCCAGCAGGTAGATTTTGATGTTGCAGATGATTTTGTGATCTGTTCTGTGAGAATCTCTTCACAGTTGAGTTTCAAACA